ATACGTAGCATTTAAGATTGTTTTCTTCAGTACTTGGAAGTTTCTTTAGGTCATGCATTTGTAACGCTCTCTTGGTGCGTAGGTCACAACTTGCAGGAATATGAACTTGACTGTGCTACTGAATATCAGTCGTTCTCACAGCTGCAGCTTCCACGGTCCTGTCCTCCCAAATATGTCTGTAGAAGCTGTTTACTAATATGAGTCAACATATTCATGTTTGATAAAACATATTTATAATTTGAGGTTACTGAACTGTGTCACTAAGTAACGTTAAGAAGAGATTTTTTTTTTTCACCACAGCCATTCTATATGCTACTTCTGGTTTTGTTTTCTGCAGAAGTTTACACCTTTCAGATAAGATTTCTCTGAGATTGCTCGGTACTGACCTTAATGTATTCTCTTAAGAAATAATAGTAAAACTATTTGCTTAGGTGTGGGGCTTTTCTACCTTGAGATTCACAGCCTTGATAGCTAGACCAGATTCCTATCTCCACGACCTCCTTGGTGTTCTCCACAGACTCCTTGGTGTTCTCTTCCTGGGTTTTTTTTTTTTTTTTTTTTTTTTCCCCCATGTGGGTTTTTCCCTTAATCTTTTTCCTGTCTTGTGTGTCTCTGGCAAATTAGCCACAATCTTCCTCTTAGGCAGCGTTTTGGATACAGATGTATAATGCAGTTATTAACTTCCTTTCCTCATTCAAGTGGACGGAATGATAACGATGTGATATGACAAACACATTTTCATTATTATTTTTGACCTATTTAACTTATCCTTTTTTAATTGCCTCAGCATTTGCAAAGAAAGCAGTTTTAAAATAGTATCCAGCATCTTCAAGACCCCAGCTGCCACCTGCTTCATAGAGTTAATCATACTTTTCCTTTCCAAGACCTGTCTTACTCTTTTGCATCCATTACTGGATGAAGTATGCTGTTTCATTCTCTTTCATTTTGGAGATAAGTAGAAGAAATTGGGAAAGGATCCTTGACTGTCTTGATTGTGGCATTTTCAGAGCATTTGTCTGTTCTGTTTGGGAGGGATTTTATCATAGTTTTTAAGACAGAAAGCTTACAACTCGTTGAGAATCATCTTGGGACTTAGAAACTAATAATAAGTCTAACATAAAATAATTACTTTTTCTAAAAATGTTTGGTTTATTGCCTACCCCTACTTCATTTCATGCATGGGGGAATACCACTGAACTCCATATTGCACACTGCAATTTGCTCCTAAATAGTCATGTCTTTCAAACAGCATAGCATGAAACAATTCCAAGAGTAAGTACCTAATTCAAATGGATAAAACAATTCATTCTTCAACAGTTTCCCAGTTTTTAGGGTGAGAGGATTTACCCTTGCATATCTAAACCAAGTACACAAGTGCTCTGTTTGAGAACTCAATAAAAGGATGAGTTCCCTTTTGTTTTTGAACAGACTTATCCTACCAAAGGAAAGCACTTTAACAAATATGGGTAACTGAGGGTGGGGCATTTTGCATTTTAAAAATCTGGAATGTACAAAATGAGGATTATGTCAAGTTGTGAGCATTTCTTAAAAAAAAAAAAAAATTAGAAAATTTAATCATTATTCATTTTTTGGGGTGTCAGGAGTGTTGTGAATAAAATGAGACTTCATGTAACACAAATGGACTGTTAATTTCTCAGTGGATTTTTGAGAGGGTAGCACTCTTCGGATTCAATTGGAATTTTAACATTATTTTAAAGGTGTATTTTTTCAATATTTTATTTTATACTAGTAATAAAGGATCCAATTAGTTAAGCCCCAATGTATTAAATAAAAACAGAACACTCTGAGCTAGTATTGCTCTACTGTATTTGATGAGATGTTTTTATTAAGTAGTGCAAAATATTTTGCATTTTATTACAAATTTCACTGAAGTATTGAAGTGCAGAAGAAAGGAAGGGGCAGGAATAATTTTTAAAATTATCGTTATAGTTTAATGTTTACCTGTTAGTTTCTGGACTGTACTACCAAAATCTTTTGACCTTTTTCTAAATGGCTGTTAACGTCATTTGGGAGGGAAGGAGCCAGGTGTAGTTTTACTCAAGAGATTTTATTCCTTTTTTTTTTTTTTTGGTCAATTTAACTGAAGTTGGATCTGAGATTAGCTGTGCAAACCTCCAGCTGCTAGGCTATATGTGATGTTACCAGGATGTGATAACTTACTTTGGTAGACATGTGCAATATTTTTACCCATGGTTCCCAAAAAGGTAAAATTAAGGGTCAAAGATTTGTGCTGAGAAGAGAACCACTTTGAAGTTTACAATGAAATGTAAGTGTGCAAGTACCCCTAAAGTTGGACAGTAAAAGAGGCTTAGGTCATACTTTTTTTCAGGCAAGTGCAAAAGAAAGAATTCTAATATATTGAGCTTTGACATATCCTTCATGTGGAAGATGTGTAATGAAAGCACATGTAACTCTTTGTTATATTATACCCAGCTGCTTTTTCATTATGTAATGACTTCTTACATGTACTCTCAATGTATAAATGTATTTAATAGCTTTGGCATTGGGGCTTACTTTTCACTTTTGGAGCAAAGAACATGGTTTGCATAGTGTTTGGGGCAGCAGGGAGTCAAGTTCTGGTTCTCACATAATTAAAAAATGAGCTGTGCTTTTGTAGGGCCTTTTATTCAGCCTGCTCTTGTTGAGCTCATATGTTGCCTGGGAAAGACTGGTGAGCAGCTCTTGAAGATGCAGTTTGCATCCATAAATTAACTAAGAACATCCAAGGCTAGTTGCTAAATGCATTAATAATTGTGCAAACATGTAGTTTTGTTGTTTACAGAGCAATGGATAGCACCCTGGAGGAGCAGCTAACAAAAATGATGTGAAGAGAAGCAGCACATGAATGTAGATGGGCAGGGACCTCATTTTCAGAGGCATACTGTACAAGCAAATGGTTTGATACTTCATTATGTTACATCTTTGTGTATTGATTTTGCCTCGGGAAAATTGAGTGTACTTTCACTCATAGAAATGATGAAAGTTCTGATTTTCAATTTGCTTGAGGGTAAGTGGGAAAGGCATCGGGTCCAAAGGAACTGGATTAGAGGTCTCCCCAGAAATCAACCTAGATATAACCTCTCCATCCATAAGACTTTTGAGACTCTCTCTAATAATTACTGCACTAAAGTATCTATTTGACACATCTGTAGGTACAAATTAAAAGAAAGCCGAGATCTACAGATGAGGTGAAACTTGTGTGAACTTCAATGAAGTACACTCATTAATATCCTTCCTGAATTTGAGGAGAACTTTTTATAACCAGAGGCATCAGTCTAGGTAAAATATAAAACAGCTTTCACTAGTATAAGAACTTCTTCACTTCATTTTATCGTACTTTTCAAATGTGATGATCACACAGGAAAAAATTTATATTGGATTTCAGCCTGTAGTCACCATTTGGATTTTCTTAGGAAATAGATTTCAAGTTCTTTATGAAGTGTAAGATTTTCTGTTCCTACATTTCAGTAGCTGGTGTTAAATCTGATGTTTGCCTGTTACAGAAGTGTTCTATAACTTCAGCTGACCTTCCTAAATACTTGGTTTATATAGCACTGACGACATACTATAGACTTAGGATCTCGTTGACTTGACAATTTAAGAAGACAGGAACCTTGGCAATTTTTTTTGTATGAATTAAATGCTGACATGCAAACTGAGGCAGAATATTCAGATACAGTTGTAGAAGGGTAAATACTTTCCTAAAATACCATTTTCAGGAACCTAGTAAAATTTCACACATCCTACGTATCCAGAACAGCTGTTGTTAGAATTTAAACAGTTTTTGTAGAGATGCCCAAAATCAGAACTGTTGTCTTTCGCAATGAATCCATACTTAAGTTACCAAAACTGAACTGAAAGAGAAACTTCTCCATCTCGTACTGCTCCTCTTATTTTAATTTTTAAACACTCATGTAATATACTTGTGTCTTCTTGTATTTGTGTTTTATATGAACACTGTCTAGGTGTTTAGAGGTTCCAGAATGTCCTCAATGGTGTCATAAGAGCTTCATAATATTCTATAATAATAATACACAAGAATGATTTTCCTCATACTTGGTCTTCACCAGAATTTATTGCTGTAAATGTGTGAGAAAAATGTCCTTGGTCATTCTTAAATTATATATATATATCTTTTTAAAAAAATATATCCTTAAACACATGCATCGAAGTATTTTTCTATCACTGCCAATGCTTATAATTTAATAATAACAACTTAGACCTTTATTAAATGTTCTTGCAGTGTCCTAACTGAAACGCTGAAGATCTTCATGTCTAAATACTTCTAATTTAGTTGGAAGTGATTCTAAACAATTTAATAATATGTATTAATAGAAATGTTTATGCATCAGAGTGATGTAGTCTGTTATCACTATAGTTATCTGAGTATAATGCTGGATTGTAAGAAAATATTTGAATAGTTAAGGTAAGGCTGCTGAGTATAATAATGGCTTATAATAAAATACTTGCATAGTTAAGGTAAAGCTGCTCAGGCATCATGTGAGACCACATAATAAAACTGTGTATCAGTAGAATATGTATTATCTGTATATTTTCCTCAGTGACTGGTATAATCATTCACTCAATTTCTGAAAGGCTTCACAAATCCTAATTCCTTTTAAGAGAATTAACAGAGGTAATTCAGTGTCCCTTACACATTTTTAAATACAGTCCTGTATCTGACAAATGGAAATTCTCATCAGAAACCACACCACTTACTATGAACATTGGTAAAAAACCACTGGATTTTTATCACAGCTGATGAACTGTGAATGTAAACTGCAAAGATGTGCATTTATCTCTCAGGCTGAACTCGCAAGCTCTTTGTTATGACAGGTATTCCTGATTAGGAAGTGTGGGTAGGGTCATTGCAGAACTCTGCTCAGGTGCTGGATGCAAACAGGTTTGTTTCTGTGGAAGGAGCGCCCTCAGTGATGCGTGGATATAGGTACAGTGTGACTTCTGTCTTCTCTTTGCAGGCAGAACTTGTTGATATACAGTATGGGACTGTGGAAGACTTGATCCGGATTCAAGCCATTACAAACGTGACCAAAAAAATTGCACTTTTGAAGCTAGGACAATCACCTTTGCTTTATAAGGTTAGTCAAATGCTTGTGGCACTTCAGTTGAATTGTTTGGGTTTTTTTCAGTTTCAAAATACCGAGACAAGGACTTTTCTATCCCAATAAGTTAGGATTTACTGGCATTCAGATTCTTCCTTAATACTATCCACTTTGATCTGTAGTGTCTTTTATGTGTTACAGTTATTTATTTTGCTGCATATCTTGCAGTGCCCCAGTAGTATACCGTATTTTCTTTGGGTGTACTGTAAGCCTTTACAAATAAAGAAATCCCTAAAAGAAACAGTAAATCATGAAGGGGTGGGGGGAAAAAACGGCAGCTGAGATCAGGAATAGTTGGATCTGTGTCTACGAAAAATGTATGTATGACACTGCACTGAAATCTTTTGTTTCTCTGTGGTAGTTGGCCTGCTGGCTGTAGTTTGAGCCTGCTGTAAGAGGAGGCAGAGCACGGTATGTGCACTGAGTTGTAACCAGTGGCGGACACTGTAGGAGAACTAACATCATTGTTTATGGTTTTTGTAAGAAATGACATCGTAACCTGATTTCATCACGATGTAACAGAGCCTTGCACTGCGGAGAGGGTGCATTTGCCACCTCGGTTCTTTCTGCTGTCCTTACCACCCTAGCAGGAAGAAAGGGACTGTGAGTTGGAAAACAGCATTTACTTCATGGTAGAATGTGTAGAATATGGGAGATACACAGATAAGGCATTTATTCCCTCTGCCATTAACAGTCAGTAACACCTGTAAAATCACCAGGATTTGCTTGTCTATGGATGGGTTACCACCAGTTCAGAATAAGAACCATGTTTTTGTTCCACTCCCTCCTTCCTGCTTTGGTTGAGGCGATGCGTGGGAAGGAGTGTGCATGGGTGTGTGTGTGTGTGTCTGCTCTTCCTCCTCCAACTCCAGCTCTGTCAGAAAGCGCAGAGACAGGGCTCACTCATCCACTTGTACATTAGACATAATAGACTCAACATATAAAACACATTTAAATTTTAAATGTCAAGTAACTGCCTTCTATTGCAAATACTTTATAAACAAAAATGTTGGTTTGCCTTTCAGAAAATACACTAGCCCAATAAATATTTAAACATTTCATTCCCAATTCACAAAAGCAATTATAAAAGAACAGTAACTCCAGATATTATAATTAAGAGAATCAGGGTCTGCTCTGTCAGCCACAGAAAGCACAATCGAGACCACAACACAGGTTCAGAAAATAACCACTTTAATATTTTTTTTCTATAGGAATAATATTTGTCTCAATAAAAATGCCATTTTCAACTGAGTAGCTTTAGCTGTTTATTTGAATTATTTAGATGCAATCTAATTACACCTGTGAAAGGTCAGTTATCATTGTTGGAACTTGGCTGTTGTGCATCATTTCTACCAATAGATCTTATACTGCATTTCACTGCTCACTGACAAAACCAATGAAGTACCAGCTGGGGCTCATAAAGTAGGAATTTGATAAAGATGCCAGGTTTGCTTTAATAGCATTGTCTAAAGTTTCTATTGGATGCACTTTTTACCAGTTTAATTTGTGTTCCTGTAAGCACTTAGCAAGTAGTGCAGCCTGAAGAAGTGGGGCAGAACGATTGGTGCTGAGGACAGGGAACATCTCAGGAACTTTTAGTTTGGGTTGGCTGTAGTCTGGTCCCAAGAAGTAAGTGCGAACTGGTGGCTGAGGTGTATTAGCCACACTTGTGGAACGATTCATTTTGGGCGTTCAGAGTCTGTTACAAAGCATGAGCCAAAGTGTGGTATGATCACGAGATGGATTTCAAATGCATGCTCGGGATCTGAGCTAAAAATACAACCACCCAAACCTACTTTTTGTGTTCTGCTCATGCAGTTGGGAAGTTTGGCCTTTGTTATTTCTTCTTTTTGAGGTGGTAAACTATTTTTAGAACATAAGCAGTGTGTCTCTGGCTGGGAAATAATTGTAAGCTATTAAAAGTATCAGAAAATATAGAGGAAGATACCAGATGTAGACTGCTCTTTCATAAGGAATATTTGAAGTGAAAGAGAAAGATTGCCTTCAACAGCAAGTCCTGCTGGTTTAAATGGGCCCAGTATCTCACTACTGAATCCACTTTTTGTATCTTCTTTTTTCCCGCTAATGTTTATGTTTCTGTACTTAACTGAGTCTCACATTTCTGTTTCCACAGATACTTCCTTCTGCCTATTTTTCCCTTATCTCTGTCTTCCACGTGCTTGGTTTTACATCACATTAAAACAGAACATTAGTTCATAACAGAGCTGTCGCTATATATATATATATATATTTACTGCTTTTCTTCATAACTTCTGTATTTAACTTGTGTTTTTCACATTTTAATGTTCTTTAATTGCCCATTATTATTACTTTATATTATACAAATATCTCACTCTGGATTTGGGTCTTATTTTTATACAGCCTGCACCAAGGTTTCATCTTCATAACAGAGTTTCTAAACATGCCTCTGTTTTTCAGCTCTGTATTCTCCCTTGCATGGGTGTGCTTTTTGCCTCTGTCTTTTACTGCCATCATCAACTGCTGTTTTTCATGTGTTTTTCCTTTTTTTCCCCTTTTGTGTTTCTAATTTGCCCTTTTTTTAACTCGACTGTTCTTTCTCTCCATATTGAGTCCATTGGAAAAAGCCTGAAAGAAATAATAAACTGATGCTGGCAGAAAACTCACCATGAACACTGAACATTTCTTTAGTCAGAAGAAAAGTAGTAAGAAATAAGCCCAAGTGGTGGGAATTTGAATATTTGGAAAAATAATTGTGTTACTGACAGTATTTTTGCTGTAGAGGTTTAGTTTGTTGTTTCCTGGAGATTGGATAGGACACAAAATTTGGGGGAGGATGAAGGTTGAAAATAATTTAAAGCTTCTACTTTTAGTCTTTCCAATTAGGCCCATCTCTTCTATCTTCAAACACACCAGAAATAAGACAAGGTTCTAAGCTTGGAGTAACTTGGAATTGGAATGTACCGGCAACCTGTAGTACGCAAAAAAGCCTGAAGCTAATATGCTGTTAGAGTATGTAGTTGGATCCTTAACATGAGTAATTCTGATTAAATTTGGTAAGGTTCAGAAATTGAAGCTGATTTGTGAGAGTGAGGTTTGTAGAAATCTGATCTTAGGTTATTTTTGTAATTGAATATGATTTTTACATTTTATCATGAGTGTGTTCCACTGAAACAGAACATAGTATCTGATCAGGGCAAGAAGGGCAGCAGCTGTGGCAGTGGGCACATTTCCTAGAGTATTGCCAGAGCCACACAGAAACATCTCGATCCCTTAAGCTGGACCTTTTCAGATAAAGAATATGTTACTACAGCTGCGTGGTAAGTTATGCATATAAAAATCAAGGACACGGACCCTACCTTTATAGCAGGACAAGGTATCAGATTGTTGGCTCTAGGGGCAGAAAAAAACCCGGGTGTGATAAAACTAATAGATAAAAAAAGGGATACATATTAATGTATATAGAAATCAGAGTGGAGTGGAGATTTAGAAAGGGGTTTTACTATTGATACGACACTATTAAGATCAGTAAGGGAGCAAGACTCTAGTCTATTAATATTAAAAGTGGGAGAAAATAGTGGTAGAAATGCTTCAAGGGCTCCAGCAAGTTGTAGTATGGCAAAGGCAGAGTCATTTCCAAATGCAGATGAAAGGTTGAGGAATTTACGGCTCCCAGCACCTGGAGAGACAATATCCTTCAGCAACACAAACTAAGGCAGTGGACTGAGTAGTGGAGCGTACAGGGAGTACTCACGTGATGCATTAACCTGGCATAGCCATGATACCAGTAATTTCTGTCTCTAGCCAAAATAATTTACAGTGCTGAGTAACTGACAGAAGAATTTTAAACTACTGTGTCTGCTCCTAAAGGGATTTTGTGACTAGTTTTGAGACACTTGTAAAAGCTGGATTGTTTCTAAATAAAGAGGGGACCTAGATTAAGGAAGAAAAAAAAAACCAAAAACTTTCTTGAGGAAAAATGGGATAGAAGTGAGACTAATATAAGACAAAAGCACAACTACTGGAATTAACTACCAGAAAAAAAAAAAAAAAGTAGAATATTTGCTTCCTCATGCTTTCATATTGAAAGTGTCTGCCTCCTGGTGTTCTGGCTAGAAGGAAAATTTGTGTTTTGGTGGAACCGAAGTTATTGGGATCACTCCTGAGCTTCGGTAGCCACATACATACAGGAGGTCAGAGCAGACTCCCTGATGTCCTTGAATCAGGAGGATCTATAAATGCAAGGAAAGATGATCAAGTTTGTAATTAGCGATTAAGCAAATCACTTTTGTGATGTAGAATACCTTCTTGAGAAGGAGCAGCTTGAGTTGCCTGCTGTGTTTGTAGACAGAAAACATCTAGTAGTATGAAATGTGTGGTGACAGAAAGATTGAAACCACCTCACTAGCACCCAGATCCTCTGCCCTAAAAGCTTGCCTGAGTATATGTCACCACTGTGAGCACACAAAAGAAGACGGGGAAAGCTTATTTTCAGGGAGGACTGCACCATAGTTTCAGTATCCAGTGTCTGGAAATACCATCTCCAGATACGTTTTTTGAAAAATGTTGTAGATTTTGAGCATGATTTAATCTTTTGGGGCTGGGATTCAAGAAAAAGCCATAATTTCTGTCCTAAATTAACTTTTAATAGAGTAACAAAAGCCCTGAAGGCCAAAGCACTTCATCTTTAAAATGTTCACATATTAACATTTTTTCCGCATCCATTAAATGAAGATGTTGTTCTACTGTGTAAATATCTATATTTATTTTAATAATTTACTGCCTTCATAAATATTCATAAAATTGCTTTTTAACTATCATAAAGTTTAGAAATGTGGATGCTTGCATGTTGATGCGGAGGTTATTGACAGGCACTTACAGATAAGGATTTACTAAATGGAAAGTATTAAAGATTCCCAGAATAAAGGCAATTTGCCAAAAGGCTTCTATTTAATAACTGCATTAGTTCTAAGTAAGTTTACTTTGGAAAAAAGTTA